TATTGAAAATGATAATTTATTTGGTAAAGAATTGAAGGAATGGTTATTAAAGAAATGTTTTTACTCTTTGAAAGAATTGTATGATCTCAAAAATTAATTAGAATTTGTACTTACATTTATTAAAATAATTTAGATTAAGCTTAATTAATATTATGTATAATGTTGCAATGCCCTCACAGGGTTCATGTTCTGGGACTATTTTATTTTTAATACCTTGTTTGTACCACATGAAGCAATAAAGATATTATGATTATAATTATGAATCATCTGCCGCTGGCGACGGCGTTGCAGTGCGGTGCTTCATAGAACATTGTGTTAATTCGTACGGTCGACCGATGTACACGACCGACGTCAGCGTAGGAGGAAATCAAGCCTTATAATGTAGAAGCTACGATAGAAGAACGGTGAAGGGGTCGGACTGGCCGACTCGTGACCCGGAGAACGCGCGTTCGGTCCCCGCCGCTCGACTATTGTGGTGAGCTCACTCGTGATACAAGCATATTTAGCTTAGTACGAGGGGCTAACGGCACTATTACTAATTTGTAACAAATTACTAAATAATCTTTAAAAAAAAAACCAATTTATAAAATAGTGTCGTAACTCAAAATGTGACCTTCAAAATCGTTGAAAAATTGATTGTTCAAAAAACTTAATAATGGGATGAAACGCGATACGCGATTTGACTCGTTTATCGTGTAATTAATATTTAATCGTATGAGTATTTGATTAATCAATTAACTGAAGACTCTGGGTAACATTATCATATTATCGGTCCTGATATTAACAAGATAAGTTTTGATTATCTTGTTTGTCTTTCTGTGCTGGTGTTTCATTGAAATGGTGACTCATAAACAAACAGGCATGTTTTGACTTGTCTTACAACAAAGTGTTGGTATGTCGTACAACAAGACAACAACCCTCTTTCGGTTGAACAAGGGAACAAACAACTGCACGCAGGAAGAATAGGGATGATGACTGGGTAATGAAATCGAAATTCTATTTAGTCCGTCAGACAGATAATTAGAAAATATTAGAAATGTCGCGTAACGTCACTTTTGAGTAAAAATTCTACTCAAGCGTGACGTATCGCGCCATTTCAACTCGATGTAGCACTGTTATTATTTAATTATGAAAGCAAATAAAAAATATGAGTCCAATATTTTCTAATTATCTGTCTGACGGACAAATAATTGAAATTTTGTCATCTAGCCTATTAATGAATGCTACTGACAACGCCACTCTTGTAGCGGATTTTTGGCTGACACTGCATAGGTTTGTTGTCGACACAAGAAGAAGAAGGGACCAGTGGCGAATGTCACCAACACCTCCCATTCCAAGTATCAAGTCGAGCTGATCTGATGTTGGAGTCAGGAAGATATCTTATTTATAGACGCGTGTTTACCGACAAGCCCAGTTCTTTCTATGTCCCAGTCCGATACTACGGAACGGACTAGGTCCGATTATCACTAACACCTCCTTCCAAGTATCAAGCCGAGCTGATCTAATGATGGAGCCAGGTTCAGGGCCGGATCTACCATGTGACTTTTTGGGCTTCAGCCCAGAGCCCCGTGGATTCAAGGGCCCCCCCCAGCTTAGTCAAGTCAAAGTCAAAAATAGACGATAATGCGAAAGAGTTGGGTGGGCCCCTAAGTAGTATTAGCCCAGGGCCCCCTAAACTCACGGTCCGGCCCGTAGATAATCTGATCTTACTTACATTAGCAATCTTCACGTCTAGCACAGCGTAAGCGTGTGTAGCGACCAGTCCGGTTCTTTTCGCGTCCAAATCAGACAGGGGACCAGTTGCGACTGTCACCAAAACCTCCCTCCCCCCTTTAGTAATAGCTGATCTGATGATGGAGCGGCCGTTGGGGCAGGAAAGTTCTCGAGTGGCGACCACGGGCTGGAAGACGTAGCGTGGGCAGGCCTCCTACTAGGTAGACCGACGATCTGGTAAAGGTCGCGGGAAGAGCCTGGATGTGGGCAGCGCAGGACCGTTCATTGTGGAAAACCTTGGGGGAGGCCTTTGTCCAGCAGTGGACGTCATTTGGCTGAAACGAACGAACGAACGAACGATGATGGAGCCAGGTTATCTTACTTACATTAGCAATCTTCACGTCCAGCACAGCGTAAGCATGTGTAGCGACCAGTCCGGTTCTCTCTGCGTCCGGATCGGACAGGGGACCGGTGGTGACTGCCACCAACACCTCTCTGGTATTAAGTTGATCTGATGATGGAGCCAGGTTATCTTACTTACATTAGCAATCTTCACCCAACACAGCGTAAGCATGTGTAGTGACTAGTCTGGTTCTCTCTGCGTCCGGATCGGACAGGGGACCAGTGGCGACTGTCACCAACACCTTCCAAGTATCAAGCCGAGCTGATCTGATGATGGAGCCAGGTTATCTTACTTACATTAGCAATCTTTACATCCAGCACAGCGTAAGCGTGTGTAGCAACCAGTCCTGTTCTCTCTGCGTCCGGATCGGACAGGGGACCAGTTGCGACTGTCACCAACACCTTCCAAGTATCAAGCCGNTAATGTTGAAATGCCCTCACAGGGCTCATGTTCTGGGACTATTTTATTTTTAATACCTTGTTTGTACCACATGAAGCAATAAAGATATTATGATTATGATTATGAATCATCTGCCGTTGGCGACGGCGTTGCAGTGAGGTGCTTCATAGAACATTGTGTTTATTCGTACGCTCGACCGATGTACGCGACCGACGTCAGCGTAGGAGGAAATCAAGCCTTATAATGTAGAAGCTACGATAGAAGAACGGTGAAGGGGTCGGACTGGCCGACTCGTGATCCGGGGAACGCGGGTTCGGTCCCCGCCGCTCAACTATTGTGGTGAGCTCACGGCTAACGGCACTATTAGTAATTTGTAACAAATTGCTAAATAATCTTTAAAAAAAAAATACAATTTATAAAATAGTGTCGTAAATCAAAATGTGACCTTCAAAATCGTTGAAAAATTGATTGTTCAAAAAATGGGATGAAACGCGATACGCGATTGGAATCGTTTATCGTGTAATCAATATTTAATCGTGTGAGTATTTGATTAATCAATTAACTGAAGACTTTGGATAACATTATCATATTATCGGTCCCAATATTAACAAGATAAGTTTTGATTATCTTGTTTGTCTTTCTGTGCTGGTGTTTCATTGAAAAGGTGACTCATAAACAAACAGGCATGTTTTGACTTGTCTTACAACAAAGTGTTTGTATGTCGTACTCGTACAACAACCCTCTTTCGGTTGAACAAGGGAACAAACAACTGCACGTAGGAAGAATAGGGATGATGACTGGGTAATGAAATCGAAATTCTATTTAGTCCGTCAGACAGATAATTAGAAAATATTAGACTCATATTTTTTAATTTTTTTCATAATCGAATAATTACAGTATTTGACTTGAAATGTCGCGTGACGTCACTTTTGAGTAAAAATTCTATTCAAGCGTGACGTATCGCGCATTTCAACTCGATGTAGCACTGTTATTATTTAATTATGAAAGAAAATAAAAAATATGAGTCCAATATTTTCTAATTATCTGTCTGACGGACAAATAATTGAAATTTTGTCATCTAGCCTATTAATGAATGCTACTGACAACGCCACTCTTGTAGCGGATTTTTGGCTGACACTGCATAGGTTTGTTGTCGACACAAGAAGGACCAGTGGCGACTGTCACCAACACCTCCCATTCCAAATATCAAGTCGAGCTGATCTGATGTTGGAGTCAGGAAGATATCTTATTTATAGACGCGTGTTTACCGACAAGCCCAGTTCTTTCTATGTCCCAGTCCGATACTACGGAACGGACTAGGTCCGATTATCACTAACACCTCCTTCCAAGTATCAAGCCGAGCTGATCTGATGATGGAGCCAGGTTCAGGGCCGGATCTACCATGTGACTTTTTGGGCTTCAGCCCAGAGCCCCGTGGATTCAAGGGGCCCCCCCAGCTTAGTCAAGTCAAAGTCAAAAATAGACGATAATGCGAAAGAGTTGGGTGGGCCCCTAAGTAGTATTAGCCCAGGGCCCCCTAAACTCACGGTCCGGCCCGTAGATAATCTGATCTTACTTACATTAGCGATCTTAACGTCCAGCACAGCGTAAGCGTGTGTAGCGACCAGTCCGGTTCTCTCTGCGTCCGGATCGGACAGGGGACCAGTGGCGACTGTCACCAATACCTCCCCCTTCCAGTATCAAACTGAGCTAATCTGATGATGGAGCCAGGTTATCTTACTTACATTAGCGACGCGTGTGTAGTGAGTAGTGACGGTCCCAGTTCTTTCTGCGTCCCAGTCTGACAGGGGACGCGTGGCAATAGACATGTTGACAACACCAATCAACTGACGTATTTTTTAAAACTGTCAAAACGAAACTCTCCCATAGATTTTGTATGGCACTACAAGCAAGTGACGTCACTATTTTGTCAACTCAATTAAACTTCTTTTTTCAATTACAATGCGAACAAAAATCGTAATTTACAGGTAATTTAAAATTAATTAAGTTTTTAAGACCAGAATAAAGTGTCTTTTTAGAAAATTTGTGATTTCGTATTATTGGGGAATGGTGTCGAATTGTCTATTGTCACAAACACGGGAGGTGTCCTGCCCTGGAGTATCGAGTCAAAGCTACGAGGTTATATTATAGGCTATCTTACTTACATTAGCAATCTTCACATCCAGCACAGCGTAAGCGTGTGTAGCGACCAGTCCGGATCTCTCCGCGTCCGGATCGGACAGGGGATCGGTGGCGACTATCACCAAAACCTCCCTCTCCCCTCTTTATTAAGCTGATCTGATGATGGAGCCAGGCTATCTTACTTACATTAGCAATCTTCACCCAACACAGCGTAAGTGTGTGTAGCGACCAGTCCGGTTCTCTCTGCGTCCGGATCGGACAGGGGACCAGTTGCGACTGTCACCAACACCTTCCAGTATCAAGCCGAGCTGATCTGATGATGGAGCCAGGTTATCTTACTTACATTAGCAATCTTCACGTCCAGCACAGCATAAGCGTGTGTAGCAACCAGTCCGGTTCTCTCTGCGTCCGGATCGGACAGGGGACCGGTGGCGACTGTCACCAAAACGTCGCCCCTTTCCATCCGAGACCTAATGGTCTCGTACAATGCGTCCGCGTTGAAATCGGGCTCGTCCTTGCGAATCGCGCATCGCTCCGGTATCCAACCAGTTAACGCGTGGAGATCTATGTTCTGGAAAAAACAATTGAAGTACACCACTAATCAATTGAAAGACTTTTTAAAACTGACAAAATAAAACTCTCCCATAGGTGTTTCCCGAAGTGGATAGGGCAAGCTATATTTGGAACGTGCATAAGTGCCCTGTATGTACTGAATGAACTATTTGAATTTGAATTAGAATAGATTTTGAATGGCAATACTAGCCTATGTCCAGCAGTGGACGTCATTTGGCTGAAACGAACGAACGAACTAGCCTATGACGTCACTATTTTGTCAACTCAAACTACTTTTTTCAATGACAATGCAACCAAATATCATAATTTATTTCTTAAACCCACGAAAATTTAACACATTCTAGATTAAAACACTAGGAGGTGAAATCATTCATTTAAATTATTTGCGGAATGAAATATTTGTGAACTTTAATTACCTAAGGCTAATGTTAATGTTATGTAATACTTACACTATTCGAGCCAGGGAAATCATAACCACCCATGACTTTCATGTACGCCTTTTCCAACATGGAGACCCAAAATTCGTTCTTATTGCTCGAATACGAACATAGAAGTCGGCCATATTTGCTGTACGGAAGTCTGTCGTCTATGATTACCTATAATAAAAATATTTCAGATAAATTCCTTGCTCAGAGCAAAACATGAGAATAGTTGGACCAATTATTGTTATACAAAAATTTTTCTGAAACGGTTCAGTAAACAGACAGACATACCGTTATTTTTTCATTTAGTAGCTTGTACTACGTATGGGTACCAGGCAATGGATTAAAATAACTTTTTGATTGTAAATGGTACATTATAAAACATAGAAAGTAAGTATATGAAGTATATTTACCTTCCTTCTTACTCCGTTAAGGTGTAGCTTCACCATGTACTTGCCAAAAGGGTTGTACACAGGTTGTTTGTTTTTGTTCTTTGGGTAGATTATGGATGTGATTATTTTCTTATTGAACCTCCTTTCGTATAAGGCACTCACGGCGAGGGAGGCGACGAACGAACAATCTGATACTATCTGAAAACACCATTGATTTAGGTTAAAGAAAAACAAGCTTTTTTTATGGACATTTGACTCTGCGCCATCTATAGTCTGGTCTGTGAGCACGTAGAATTTTGTCCAATGACCCCAAGCTACCCATCCTTATCGCTCGCGCGTAATTAATTATGTTTTATGTTGCTGTCCCGCTCGCACACTCACTGCGGGCGCCCGTCGCACAGTCCCGACAGCAATATAATTACGCGCGAGTGATAAAGATGGGTAGCTTGGGGTCATTGGACAAAATTCTACATGCTCACAGACCGGGCTTTAGTCCCAAACTAAGCAAAGCTTGTACAACCCGATCGATTTAACTGCGTACCTGGCAGCCGTGACTAGAGATGAGACGTATTTACTAGAACAGATCCACACACTAGGTATTTTACAGTACTAGGCGGCACCTATTCCAATTTTTGAAATACTTGATCCACCTAGTATTTTATAAATTACACGATTTCCGACCCTACCATCAAAGTAATAGAGGTTATTATTGCGTAATCCGTAGTCGTGTATTACACGCACCTAGTATTTCTCGATAAGCTTATGTGCGAACGTAGAGATTCACTCCGTCTCTGTCTGACCAAACAAATTTGAGCGCGACGAAGCAAACGCACACAAACGTAGTCAAACCATATTCATGTAAATAAAAGTAAAAGTGCTTTTTTTAAACCTATTTACAGAAATAAATGAGTTTTAATGAGTTTTAAGAAAAAATATGTAAATATTTTTATGAAATTGATATCTTTTAAATACGCCAACTTTTAAGTTGACAGTCCTAAGCCTGTTGAAGTATGAAGGAAGGAATTAGGTATTATTCAATTTCAAATTGCATTATTCATACTACGGTTGTATCTTTTCAAAGAAAATTGTATTTTAAAGTCATATTACGTAGATTAGTCCGCACTAGTCGCGTCAAGTATGCTAAATTACTACGTACTAGGTGGAATGGGTATTTGGATCGAGTATTAATAAATACTAGGAATAGGTGCACCTAGTATCAAATTTACCTAGTATAACCCATCTCTAGCCGTGACGTCACAACGTCGCTCTCGTACGGACAGGGCGAACGCGGGGAGGTGTGGAGAGTCGCATTCCAGCGAGATGAGCAGTTAGCTCGATCGGGTAGTACTATGGATCCCATACAAAGGAGATGGACATACTCATGTACTTTTTTTTAGTATAGTAAGCCAGTACACTGCACCAAAAATTTTTTTTTTTGTTTTTAAAAAGATTATTAGTAATTTGTTATTACACAAATTCCTAATATTCCCGTTAGCCCCTCGTACTAAGCTAAATATGCTTGTGTCACGAGTGAGCTCACCACAATAGTCGAGCGGCGGCGGGGACCGAACCCGCGTTCCCCGGATCACGAGTCGGCCAGTCCGACCCCTTCACCGTTCGGCTATCAAAAATGCATAATTTGGCTGAAGAAATAATAAATACTTGAATGCCTGGGCCGCACTCATCGCGATAACATTCGGGCGACAGCGGAACGAAGTCTTGTATCTATGCAAAAAAGCACCGAAGTATACATCGTGATAGCGCGAATCTTCGGGTTATCGCGATGAGTGCGGCCCAGGCATAAAACACCTAAAGCCTGGTCCGTGAGCACGTAGAATCCCGTCCAATGACCCCAAGCTGCCCATCCTTATCGCTCGCGCGTAATTATATTGCTGTCGCGACTGTGCGACGCGCGCCCGCAGTGAGTGTGCGAGCGCGACCGCAACATAATTACGTGCGAGCGACAAGGATGGGCAGCTTGGGGTCATTGGACGGGATTCTACGTGCTCACGGACCAGACTTTAACTATATCATTAGACTTCGTCGTCGTCGTTTCAGCCAAATGACGTCCACTGCTGGACAAAGGCCTCCCCCAAGGTTATATCATATATCATTAGACTTACTGTTTGTTTAATACTGAAACAATCCACATGCTCGTTGATTATCAACTTTGGATCACTACAAATCTCGTGAGGCCGAATCCAACAGTCAAATTCCTTCTGTTGCTTCGAAGACAGCTTCAATTCGCTGGCTTTCTCTTCAAACGGTATTGCGTATTGGAACTTCTCCGACAAATCCACGTCCATAAATGGTAGGAACCAGTTGTTGTTGATATTTGAAGTTGTTCTGAGTACATCCTTTTCTTCTTCTGTGTATGTGTGTTTTCCGCCGCTTACTTGTAAATGGACACTTTGCTCTCTTTGTAGAGGAGGTCTGTTCGGTGAAACCACTGCAAATATAAAACTTTAAGTACACTGGTCATCACAAAAATCGACCCTCCCGCGACAAGCACTTTCAAACGTATGCATCCCCACTTCTCACCAATATTGGCACCATTTAAAAGCTTAGTTCTAAACTTCATTTCATTAAAGGAAAGGTTTTTACCCCAAAAATGTTAAAGAGGACACGTAAGATCATTATTTGGTTTTATAACCATAAAAATTGGTCTAATTGATCCCAGAGGTGAGCCCAAAGTGAGACTTGAAAAAAGAAACTTGACTTGAAATAAGAAAAACTAAATATGTTTTTAATAAGAAATTAAATATGTTTTTCTTTAAGGATATTTATTGGGCTTTCAAATAACACCAATATTGTTGGGGCAGCATGATTGTGTCAGTAGAAACGAGTTTTCCTGTAAAACGTAGGTGGGCCGACTTTTGTGATGACCAGTAAATTTAAGATGTTTATTAAAATACAGAACTGTTTTATTCCATCCTCAAATGCTGTTAGATGTGAGGATGACAATCATTTAATTATGCTTAAGCTAAAGAAATGTAAACAATAAAAATAAAACTTGCATATTCCCTATTGCACAAGAAAATTAGTCATATCACAAGATTCATAAGTTACTACTTCTATAAAATACCTAAAGATATCAATAAGGACAATCAAATGTGACACCATTTAACAGATCATAAAAAGTTGACTCACATGTTTTCGATATACAGGGTGGAAACAGGTATACAGGGTCAAAGAAAACATTCCTTTTTTTAAAAGTAAGAGAACTGCATTCAAAGATTTTCGAAAAAAATTCGAAAATTTACCACATACCAAAAACAAAGTTTTTCTGTGACAGACAAAATTGAACGCGGGCGAAGCCGCAGCCAAAACCTAGTTATAGATAAGTGAATTCTTACCGGGTCTTGGCTGGCCACCAATAGACAATGTAGAAAACTTGTTGATCCCTTTTAAGTCCTCTGCTCTATCTAACGCTTGGGAGGCCAATCCTTTTACTTTTTCTTTTATCTCGGGATCACTTGATTTCTAAAACATACTTGAGTTCAATTCAAAGATAAAAATGAGTTAGTGCATTTATTTTTATTAACAAGGTAAGGTTCTGATAGAAAAATAGCTAAATCTACCATAATAAGGATGATACGAAAAAATTAGGTACACCAAAATTTAAAAGAAAGTTGCTCCAGTAGCATTATAAATAATTTTTAAGAGGCAAATAAAGAAAGGAAAAGTATCAAAAGATGATGTCATGAAGGCATTTTCAAATGTAGCACAAAGGAAAGAAGTCTTAAGGGTCAAAAAAAGGACCTTAATATTCAAGTTCAGAATAAGTCTGTAGAAACTAAAATAGGTAGTTTCTTTCTATTTACTAACATTCACTTACTTATTTTTTTATTTTTGTTAAAATTGATCATCAACAAGGTTACATTGTAGCATTCTGTTACAAAAACTAATAATATGAAAGTGCACTCACAATGGTGACAGCCAACTCCACAGCTTGAGTGTAGAGCTGCAGGGCTATGTCCTTCAAATCAGCTTCATCAGCATCCAAAGCCTGCTGCATCAAGAAGTAGCATTGCTGCAAACTTCGTTCCACTTCCGCCTGCTGTGCAACATCTGAATGATGTAACATACATAACAATAACAATTAATTAAACAAGTATGTAACAGGTTTTATAATATACAGTCCAATTAGTTACTCTGAACTCTATGTATAATATAATAATAATAAAATAAGCCTTTATTACTGGATTACAAGGTGTTTTACAACATTAATTAACCATTTCATTTTACAATTTAGGTGCACTCATCAGTGTCCTTGGACATAGGCCTCCTCCAATGATCTCCATGCTTCTCTGTTTATAGCTATTTCAAATACATCTCGAAAACACTGGACCAGAGTTCCCTATGTATAATACAACTATCTTTTGCCTGCGGCTTCACCCGCGTGAAATTTAGTTTTTCACAGATTGTCATAAACTATAGCCTATATGTTAATCTGGGTTATAAACAATAATACTGTAAAGTTTCATCAAAATCCGTTCAGAAGTTTTTGCGTAAAAGTGTAACAAACATCCAGACATCCAAACTTTCGCATTTATAATATTAGTAGGACTAGTAGGATAAATGTATAATTTACAACTTTAAAAAAAACTTTAGTTCTGATGATTATTATACCTCACTTTTTATTACAAATAAGAATTCTTATAACAATATTATTTGCTCATCTTCTAGTTAAATAGGAGATGAGTGCTTCCATTTAATCAAGATTATTATAAGATAAAAATCTCAATGCAGAAACCAGGGGACAGATTTATTAGTTCTAAAATTATTATTTTTTGTAATTGCTTTTATTAAATTAGAGCAATAGGTAACGTTTTGATCATTAATTTTCTTACTTATAAAAACTTCAACTGTAATAAAGCACTGCATTGTCCATTTATAAAAGAAATGTATAAATGCAGATACAGTTAATGATTAGCGCTTGTATTATATTGCGCTAAAAACGCTGCCGTCACGCTACTTGCTCAATGAGTCATAGGGACCGCAGCACAATGAGCTAACCAGTTTTGTTTACAAAAATTATCTTTTCAAAACCAATTAGAGATGACCAGTTTTCTTAAAAATCTACTAACCCTTCTGCTCCTGTAGCGCATTGGCTCTTTTAAGGTACTCCTGTACTTTCTCCCGGATCTCAGATCTTCGTTCTAGAGACACAGAGTCCCTAGCTCTATCCAAAATACGAGCAGCAGTCCTATAACATTCCACAGCTTTGTCCGTTTCTCCCATCTGATCGAACTGAATAGCCAGGGACGCCGCCTCCCTGGCGTTTATTAAATCACTCATTTTATTTGATTATCGCCTCAGAGTACACACAAAAAATTCATTTACAATAATTTTCAATAAAAAGTATCGCGAAATCGCGATTCGCAAATCGGAGAAATGACATTTCATTTCATTTGGTCACTTTTGACAGTTAACAATCGTTCTGAAATTTTTGACAGGAAAATAATTTATTGTAGATTAGATTTCAGAACGAATAGTAAATGTTTTTTTTTACTTTTCCAATTCACATCCCTTACCCTAGCGTGTCGGTTCGGTAGTCGTCATGAAGCTAAAGATAAAAATGGAGGGCAGAGTTGGAACAAAAACTTGAGTCAAATACCTACTTATATCTATCTCGCTCTCTGCGGCCCTACCTCTCTTTTTAGTGTGAACTGTAGTATTGCTATCTTCTGATTTAAATCTCCTTGTAAATTCTTCGAAATAGCCAATTCACTTACCAAATCAAAACTTAAACAAATAAATAATTAATATTAATATTTTTGTTGTGCCTAATGTTTATGAAAGTAATGATCGTTATTCCATTATGTTAAATAGTACTACTAGTAATTCATACTTAATTCCATACTTTTAAATATCCTAATAAGTAAATGACCTAGTTTCATAAAATAAATACTATTTACTCAAGCTTTTTATTTTTAATAAATGTAAAAATGCGTAGTTTTGCCAATACGTTTTCTTTCATAAAGCTAAGTCAGGTACCTAGTTTTGAAGATATTTCTAAACGACAAAATCTCGGCCGGCGTCGTATACATAGACTAGTAATAGTGTATACTGCGATCACTGACCTAACTTCTTGATTTGTATATTTCGACGTTATACAGTGCACTCTGTCTTCCGCGATCACTGATCTAACTTGTTTTATAATTCTTCTACTGCTACTTTATTCTAATTAATTACATATTTGTTACTCGTTGCTGTTAATTACAATTCTCAATCTGTAAATAATTTCTTCTCTCTACCGTGTTCGTACTGTTCGAGAGTGTGCCTCTCTTTACATAACTCCTGGGAACTCTTGCCCCAACCCTAGGAGGTTATTCTTCAATCATAACAACACTTCAATACTCACACTTTATTATTGCTTAAAACATTATCAAAATCTATTACATATTAAAACATTTTTCAACTGAGTCTATCGAAATACAATAATACAATGTCACATTTTCTTGCTTTTCTTCACCTGTCATATTTTCAAAATTGATTCTATTGCTGTTTTCTTTTAAATAAAAACTGCCAGCAACATTATACCAACAAATCATCTCATGTTAAAATTCTATATCCTAACACGTACTACTGTCCTCGTAAAATCATCGTATCCGATTATTGTAATCGGATTACATGAACATCACTCGACCATGTATGTCCATTTGGACATATCGGAATGGCACGCTTTGACTAGCAACTTGCTGTATCTACTCTAATCCATATCTGTGCCCTCCCCCACAGATATGGATTAGAGTAGATACAGCAAGTTGATCGTCAAAGCGTGCCATTCCGATATGTCCAAATGGACATACATGGTCGAGTGATGTTCATGTAATCCGATTACAACAATCGGTTACGATGATTTTACGAGGACAGTAGTTCGAACACGGTAGAATGAAGAAATTATTTACGGATTGAGAATTGTAATTACCAGCACAAGTAACAAATAATTAATTAGAATAAAGTAGCAGTAGAAGAAGTATAAAGTAGCATTTTTTAAAAACATATCCTGCGATGTACTCTTAAGAGTTAAAACCATGGTCCCTGTATGTGGTGCACTCATATCGATCCCAAGGAACCGTACTTACTCATAACAATAAGACACACACTGATCCATGTATTCATGCACTTGACAAATTTTAATCTTGAAACGCTGGTAGGGTAAAAAAAAATAACGAGATTTGACGATTTGTAAGAATTAATTTATTTAAAAAGGTAAATAAAGATGTTTTTGATTTTGTATTTAACAAATTATCAGTTTTATCGGAATTAATTAATTTTCGAATCGAGTCACACGATATCTTTCGATGACTATGCGAATGCAGTACGATGATACGATTATTTTTACGTTGCGGCAATCACTAAAATTCGCTAAAATGACACTAATGACGTTTAAAAAGTGGCACGCTCGGCTTCATACAATTTTTGACACATGCTGCATCTATCCATATCTGTGGCCCTCCCCAGTGTTCTTCTGTCAACTGTCAATCGGCATCAAATATTGCTGGACTCATTTTTTCTTTCTTCTCGCACGATTTCTAGAAATAATCAGTTTGCTGATCTAAATTATATTTAATAATATACGGTACTTAATAAATATACGTTTAAATTTAAATTGTGGACACTCAAAATGAGTTCGGAAGCTGTAGTGACCGCTGGAAATGAAATTCGTGAAAATCTGGTAATTATCGAATTATATGCCTTATTTCAACATAATTCCTTATTAACTGTATTAATCAGCGTTCTTACTAAATATGCGATTTGAATAATGTATAGAATACTCCATGAATAATTGACTAGAGTCGACAAACCTTCCTAGCCTATTAGTATTTGACCTTCGCACTTGATACTTTACGATTCTTTTTCTTTGTGTTTACTTTTAAAACAAGCTTAACCGATAATTGTAAGGTAGGCATTCCAGTAGAATGCCTTTGCATTCGAGTTTTACAGTCAGACAAGTTTACTTGGAATAATTTGAGCACAGATGAGACACATGGGTTCACAATAATTAATGTTAATAGTGCAAAAGTTTAGAAAATTCATCAATGCTTCTTTTTCTAAAATAAGAGTAATGAATGTTCATAATACTTCATAATGATCTTAGCAAAGTAATAAATAAACTTTAATGCATTTAGTTTGCAAGTGTATTTCTCAATTATCAGATAATTTTGTTGCCAGGTCACAACTGCAGTTAAATTCCTCACCAATCCGAGTGTTCAACGTTGTACTATGGAGAGCAAAGAGAGGTTTCTCCGTAACAAAGGGCTAACGGACATTGAAATACAGAAAGCCATAGAAAAGTGCGCCGAACTTGTAGACATGCCGTCAATAACATCCGAACTTATGTTCTTCCATCACCCACGGAGATCCTGGTTCAGAGATAATGTGTTACCAATACTTGTCTATGGTGGGCTAGCGTATGGATGCTACTGGTTTTATAAGGTATGTTTTTAATGTTTTTAATTATTTTATAACAGAAAACTATTCTGTGTGAAGTGGAGCATTTTATTGTTAAACTAGCAGCCGCCTGTGACTTCGTACGCGTGGATCCTGTTTTACCCTCTTAGGGGTGGAGTTTCGTAAATTCCGTTCTTAGTGAGCATCTACGTTCTAAAAGGAACCCCCATGCAAAATTTGAGACTCCTAGCACTTGTAGTTTCTGAGATTTAGTGAGTCATTCAGTCAGTAAATCAGTGACCTTTCGCTTTTATAAATTGTTAAATAATAAGTCCAATAATCACACTTGTAAGCTTTAGAAGAATCCAAGTCTCCAATTTTGTTGAACTATGATTATTAATTATCTATGAATAGAATAGAAAGTGAATAGTACCTTGCCACCATTGCATTTATCAATAAAACTTGTTTATAAATACATTACACAACATAAACAAAAGTCTTTATTTACACAACAAATACCTAGATAAAAGAAATCAAGAGTGCTCTCAACTTTTTTAGGTATTGTTCTAAATGTACAGACAATAGCACATTAAGCTAAACAAGCTGGAGTCTTATGTCATTGAAATACAGGCTATTATGCAATAAAGATGTATAGTCTGACTGATGTGCTGTTGACTGTAGCTGTGACATCTGGCTAGATTTACAGATCCGCTTAGATTTCTATAGAAATTACTACTGGCTCAAACATTATTCTGAGGATTTTTAGATTAAGTTTCATCAAAATTCATTAGGTAGTTTTTGTATAAAGCATCATATAGTAACAGACATCCATTCCTCTATGAGTTGCCTTTGTTAAAGAGGTCACAGCAAAGTGCTAGGTCACAGTGTCATTTTAGTTGTACATAAAATGTATTTTTTATTTGTAAAATAGAGGTTTTGACTAATGATTTACAACTTTGTGGCTTGAACTAGTTTATTCTTATATTGAATGACCAATATACTCCACTTAGATAAGTACCTCATTAACTTGGTAACCCAGGTTATAGATAAGGTATCAGTGTAATTATCGAAATGCTAGACTTCACTGATAGTATGTCTCAAAGACGATTCGTCTTTAGAAATTTTCAATACATTTTTTGTAAATATGCTCGAAGATTCGTGACACCAGATTTCTAAAATGGCATGTTCAATGCCTTTTTTTTGTGTCGCGGAGGAAATTCTTTGCGCACCTTCACCACTGCCGGGGGACAAGGTGGTGTGTGGACTCCCGGCGCCCTTAAAAAGGGCGCTGCTCCGTCCTGACAAGGACGGGGTATACCCATTAAAACCTCCGCGGCGTTCCGTCATCGCCCGAGTGGGGGAGTCGCGAGTATCCGGCCGTAGCTTTAGCCTTCCGCGACAGCATGTTCAATGCCTGCTGTGTTCAATTTAGTGATGAGCACAAATATTATACCTACTACCCTACCCTTTCCATAGCGCACTAGGCTACTGATAAACTAACCTTATTGTGACAGTTCACATCTCAGGACCATAGAAGTAAGAAGTTTAGAAGTTACATTGTCACCTATCTCCTTAACCCAACCAACATCCTGGTGTCCCTGGTACAGTCAGCGTCAAATAGTTCGTGACACCCAAAGTAGCCAAAAAGTTCGTATGGTTGTATGTCAACTTTTTTGCCACTTAAAGTGTCACTTATTCGACGCAGATTTTAAGGGTTTAAAAACAAAATTTAAAAAAATTCCAGAACTGCATCCGCCAGCTACTTTTCGTCGAAGAGCCGAAGCGTAAGTCCACAGCGGAGTGCATAGACGAGTTGCGCAAGAGTCTGGACATCTTGAACGCGAGCGTGACGTCACTGCGCAACGACATGCAAGCTTCCGCGCAGCAGAGCGCTATGCGCTCACAACTTGACAACATCAAGTCTGACATCGCTTCGGTTAAAGGAATATTGCTTCATAGGTACGTACCTAAATATTATACCTAAATATCATTCTAGCCCAGCTGTTCATAAAGACGAAAGTATTGTAGTGTCTATATCAACAGCTGGGCTAGAAAGCGCGCCATCTAAAATCTTATCGATGATTTTAACGATAAATGTATCGGCTTATCATGCAATATCGATAAAATGATAAAAGTTTAGTTGGCGCGCCGCATCCCAGGCCTAAGTCATTTAATCGCTATTGCAAGAGACCCTGTCCTATTCACCAGAGGCAAATGGTGGATTTGGACTACACTAGAGACGACTAGAGTGTATTGTTGTAGACAACAAAGTAAATAATTTTACACTGCGCCGTATTCATTCATAGTACAAGCTTTACTTAGTTTGCGACCTCTAGTCCCAACTGTACGGTACTAGAAAAATGGGAAATGGCCTATTTGCTGGCCATCCCATCTGGCGTTGCTGAAGACTGATTTTCTTATCTCATATTTCCCCCTTAGTCGTTTCTCTGTCGGAACCAAATGGCTTTTCGTCATATCTATTTTTATACTATTTTAAATATGGTTCGACCATGTTCTTTATACCAAAAAAGGCCATACTTATTTTTATGCTTTCAAATGCTATGGAACCTAAAAAGATATAATTATCTCGTGTTGCGGTTACGACATAATGCTTTTTACTGCGACAAAAGTACAGAAAAATCCATTGTTTTAATGAAACAATGACCCCCAATTTTCTAGTTATATTCGTGCCTACTTCGAAAAATATTGTAAAACAAACTTGTGTCATTCAATTCTAATACTTATTTGTACGTAAATTACTTTTACATGTTGCAAGCTGAATATTATTATGAAAGGGTCTTCAGGGTTAAACCATTTAAGAATTGATAGTTAACTGGGAATCCACAAAAACGTTAGCACCGTTTTTGTCTCGTTGATAAAATTCATCATTTTCAAAATTTTCATAACTTTTATAAAAAAATAACACCGACTTTAAATGCGTGAACACAAATAATACCTATTCAACAAAAAAATAATCGTTCAAATTGGTTCATAATCGGCGGAGATATTGCGTATAAAAAAGTTCATCCCCAATTTTCCACCCTTGGGGGTGAAATATTTTCTTCAAATTCGCATGAAACCACCCTTTTAATAATACCTATTCAACAAAAAAACAATCGTTCAAATTGGTTTATAATCGGCGGAGATATTGCGTATAAAAAAGTTCATCCCCAATTTTCCACCCTTGGGGGTTGTTTTTTTTATTATTAAATTTAAATGGGACCACCCTTGAGGTATTACCTATACGCTTAAAAAAGATTTGTTCAAATCGGTTCATAATTGGCGGAGTTATCGCGTAACAAACATAGAAAAAAAACATACGGGTCGAATTGAGAACCTCCTCCTTTTTTTGAAGTCGGTTGAAAAGAAAACATGAGTGTATTTTTAATTACTGCCTGAGGTATTGGAACGGCACGGGAGCGTGTTTTTGAGACGGCAATCGTCATCGAGACTTCAGATGTGCTTTAGATTTTTAATCTCGTTACGTCATAAATACATAATTAAAATTTCTGTTCGACCGGTAATCGAACACGGGACCACTCGGCATATTAGTCCGTTTCGAACCACTACACCAAACGGGCTGACTCGAAACAGGGACCTCTCGGCATAGTATCAATGTCAATATGCTCAGTTACGAGCTAGATCTATAGTAAGGGGATTTTTAAGACTTTTGTATGTGCAAGAAGACGAGTTTTTATAAAAACTCCCACCTCTCGTCCATGAATATCTATTAGCAACTTGTATACGCCGAATTTACTTAGCTGTAAGTTTCCCTAAAAAAAATAAAACAATCAAAAATTTCCATCCACCAGAAACCAGTTCCCCTCTCTGAACACGCGTCCCGATCCGCCGTCCATACCGGCGTGGCAGCGGCAGTCCGAAGAGGCCACCTCTACAGAAGCAGCGCCCGAAGAGAAGAAGAAACCTCACAGGTAACACCATTGATGTATTGATACTTTTATACAGTACCGTCGTCAAGTAACTTACGAGTAAGCATCTATTCTTGGAAAACTAACCGTAACAAGTATTGGTATTATTTATTAATAAGTAGCCACGATTATAGCCACGATAGCCCAACGGTGCAGTGGTCGGACTGGCCGACTCGAGATCCGAGGAACGCGGGTTCGAATCCTACCGCCGCTCGACTATTGTGGTGAGCCCACTCGTAACACAAGCTTATTTAGCTTAACACGAGAAGCTAACGGGACTATTAGTAATTTGTGTAATACAAATTGCTAATAATCTTTAAAAAAAAAGTAAGAGTTTATGAAACAACCTCGCCGAGCATAGAAGTTCGTCCAATGATCCCAAGCTACCCATCCTTATTGCTCGCGCGTTATTATATTGCTGTCGCGACTGTGACGGGCGGCCGCAATGAGTGTGCGATTGCGACTGCAAATAATTACGCGCGAGAAATAAGGACGGGTAGCTTGGGGTCATTGATCGAAATTTTATGCGCTCGGCGACCGGACTTTACTTGGTATCGGAGAAAAATATCCAGTATGTACTTGTATTTTACTCGTATCGTTTCATCCTTACTCACAGGAGCCGCAGCCAGCGCTCCGAGTCAGGATCAAACTCTAGCGAGGGTGAACAGGCCACCAAAAATAGCGACAGCAGTTTGGAGATCATGTGAGTCTACACTTACAAAAGTTACAAAGTTAAACGCGCAACGAACACTAGTTGAAAATTACATTTCCGTTTAAAATAAAACTATAGTGAATTATCAGAGGGATCCGCAGGAGAACCAAATGAAGACATAGCCCGCAGAATTGCTAAAATCAAGTGGCAGTGGGCGGGGCACAGCTCGTAGAAGTCCGCAGAACTGATGGCCGATGGAGTAGAAAAGTTCTCGAATGGCGACCACGGATCGGAAGACGTAGAGTGGGCAGGCTCACTAGGTGGACCGACGATCTGGTGAAGGTCGTTGTGAAAATCCTTGGGGGAGGCCTTTGTCCAGCAGTGGACGTCGTTTGGCTGAAACGAACGAACGATAATGAATTAGTGATCCACTTCAGAACCTTGCTGCCCCATCGGCAATCAGTTCTGCGTACTATGCCCTGCCCATTGCCACTTCAGCTTGCTAATCCGTCGGGCTATGACAGCCTCTTAAGTTCGTTTACGTTATAGTGATCAATACGAGTTTAACTTTTTATAATAAGGTGGCAAAGTCCAAGGATAGACAAACACTTGACATGTCTTCAGTTAAGAATTAAGTTACTAATAATCACAACCGATCTGACGCACAGTTTTTGCTACTGAAACGTAGGAAGCTAAAGCCCGGTCTGTGAGCACGTAGAATTTTGTCCAATGACCCCTAGCTACCCATCCTTATCGCTCGCGCGTAATTATATTGCTGTCGCGACTGTGCGACTGGCACCCGCAGTGAGTGTGCGAGCGCGATAGCAACATAATTACGCGCGAGCGATAAGGATGAGTAGCTAGGGGTCATTGGACAAAATTCTACGTGCTCACGGACCAGACTATAGTAACGTATAATTTTTCTTTTCACAGTACATGAAGAGTACCGCGTGGTACCGACCGCGATCGCCTAATACTTGTGTAGTGGTGTGTCATGACAGTTTCAGTGTTGATGTAGTGCAAATAGTATACTTTGTGTTAACATAAGTAGTAGTAATTAATTACCCCAGGTTTTTTGCATCCATATAACATTTGGGTATTTGACATCATTTGGGTAAAAATACTTCTAGGTTGTCTGGAATACATCGATTTATGGCGATAAGAGCGCGTAAATTGTGCCGTATCTTTTGTATATTTTTTTCTCTTTCTTTCTTGTGTTCTGTGGTGTACAATAATGTGTGATCTATTGATTTTTAATTCCACAACTTTTCTTAAATACCACATTATTCTGGAATCAAATCAACTGTTTTAGATTTTTAGTTGCTTTGAAATTAATAAAGACATGGCAATACAAATAGTGACGTCATTTGCCCTACAAAATCTATTGGAACCCCGCATTTGAACAGCTCATAAATACGTCAATTGGTTGATGGTGTCATATACCCTTAAACTGCTTTCACTTTAGGGCGTCAGAAGCGCGATAGCAGCTATTGTATAATGTGAAGGCATTCGCTGTCATATAATACAAAATTATCGGCAGCGCATCTGCTAAATTCGCCTAAGCCTAGGCGCAGACTACCGACTTTTAGTTGGCTTATATTTGGGCCCGATTCTAATTTGTTTGAAGAATCGGCCGATACCAAATCTGTGTAATGTGCGCACTTTCATACATCTCCATACTGATCAACAGCCCGACCCAATTATCGGCTAACTAAAAATCGGTGGTCTGCGCCTAGCCTAAATCTGAAAGCGCACTTGTGGGCCCTACGCTAAAACACGCTTGCGTATGTTCGCGCGAGTTTTCGCGTATAACAATTTTTTGTATTATTCTCTGAACGAATGTGTTCACATGGCAATCATAAAATGTACAATTATTCAGCAAAAATTGATTGACATATGAATTCATCTATATTTTAATTGAGGGACAACCGTTCTTCTGAAATTGCATTAATGTGAATGACTCTAATTATACATTATTATTTTAATTAACGTTAAAGAAACTGCATATTGTTGCATGCATTGCATAATATCCCATCATCTAAGTCCAACTCGAATGCACGTGAAAAAAATGTAATTTTTTATAATATTTATTTTAAAAGTTCAAAAAAAAAATGTGTTCTAAAGGCAATTATCTAATTTATAACGTATAAAATGTGTATAGATTTATTTATTTTTATATGTAACATTTTATAATTATTTATAATTATTGTTTAGTGATATCTCTCTCTTTGATGTTACTACAAAAGATATAAAACGCAATAACCTTATTTCTGTTTTTGGGATGTTGACTAAACTAAAATATAATGGTATTTTCTCATATTATTAAGAAAATGTGACAATACTATTTATTGGTATACATATAAATTAATAAACAGAATACCATTTGCGATTAAAATATAACTGATAAACTTTCACCGTTTATGCTCCAGTACATATACCATGTGAAAAATTACATGTATTTTGACTTTCTTTCTTCAAATTAAAACCAATTGTGTAAATATAACTTCTCCCCTAAATACAGGGTGTCCCATAAACAATGGATAACCTTACAAGTCTTACAACATCGATTACCCTCCTAACAGTTATTTTTGTATGCATAATAATATAATGGCTTCCATTTTGCATATTATAACACATAACTTCACTATTTTTATGATATTGTGATCAACTACACTCGCTTAGTATAAAAAAATGACTTATACCTATCTGTTTTATATTCTGACATTATTGTCGTATAAATTATGTATTTTAATTGTTCAGTAGCCTTTGCAAGTTTCAACAAAAAATCTAAATATTACATTATAATTAAACTCCTACTCTAACTTTAATTAATATTCTTTTGGTGTGAGTATCTTTACCAATATTATTTCAATGTTTTTGTCTTCAGGGAAAAAATTAACCTAACAAAACCAAAGCGCCCAATGTCAGCCTATATGCTATGGTTAGAGTCTGCAAGGCAACAAATAAAAGCCGATAATCCTGGCTTAAAAGTGACCGAAATCGCTCGGAAAGGAGGAGAAATTTGGAAAGCAATGGAAGACAAAAGTGTTTGGGAGGAAAAAGCGGCGCAAGCCAAGGATCAGTACGAAAAACATTTAGAGGATTATAATAATTATAAAAATGATGGAGGGTGGTGATTGAGGCGCAAAATGACAGATGATCTTCCTGCGCATAAGGAGAAAGAAATACATTTTCTACCACACTGCGAGATATGCGCCCGTATTCACAAACATTACTTTGAGGTCTCACAGTGCGCGTGGACGCACAGGGTGACACACGAACCAATCACAGAGCTCTATTCAACGCTGTGTGTTTGATTTGCTGCTTCACTTAAGCAAGCATCGTTTGTGGGTACGGGCGATGGTCATATTGTAGAGGCACGACTATGACATTTAAGAAATTTTGATCGCAGTCAGAAAATGGTACAGTCAGCATGAAATTCGTCGTGACACCCAATGGCCAAAAAGTTGACAAGACAACGTGACACAACCTTATTATTAATTGTAACAAAGACGTGTTGCGAATTTTTTGTCTAATTTGAGTGTAGCGAACTATTTGACGCTGACTATATTTACAAATGGCTCAGTAAAACATAGAAAGAACTTTTTTTTTCGACTTTTTGATGAAATAAACTACATATAACAATGAAAAAAATTGCTACAGCTCACATGTGAGAAATTAAAACCCACGCCTTTCGCTTGCCGGGCTCTGAATTTTCAACGAATCAAGTTATTTGAAATCCAGGCGGGGTGTGATTTTAGGAAACATCAAATTGATAAATTATGCGTGTGACATAACACAAACACAGTGTAAACTCTTTATAAACCGTTGTGGCTAAACGCAAACCGCGAAAGCCAAGAAAAAAAAACTCTTTATAACTGGGGTGGCGAACTTGATTAGTCCTAAAATCTACTGTTTACTAACGAAACCCTGTGCTATCTACCACTTACATTTACTTCTTAAATATTTTAATGAAACAACATAGTTTTACAGTACACAATCATATAGTATTTATTGCCTTGCCACGATCGACTGGACTAATAGTCGAATCGACCGGTTGGCCACCCCTGCTTTATAACGTAACTCATTTTTTTATAACTTTACTCAATATAACGACAAACCCCTTAGAACGTCGTTTCTTGACTTTGTTGGTTTACCTTGTTTTCTATCCCCTTTACCGTGTCACTCCATTTAACGACCACTCTTTAAAACGTCGAAATTTGCCTGATATCTTGAATGTCGTTATATGTATAGTTTACACTGTAGTTGTATAGATCTCGCCGTATAATCAGTAATTGCTAAGGATTTTTATAATTATTATGATAATATTTAATTAACTATGTTATTTGATACGAAAACTCTTCTAACGAAAATCATTTATTAATTTATCTATGTTTATTGCGTTATAAACATACATAAATTAATAAATAATTTGATGATGATGATTCTTTTTGACGTGTTTGGTTATATGATTTTTCGCAAAGTGGACTTACATTTTTGCCTTCTGTGTTATGTTAATAATTATTCACTGTATATTATGTGCACGAGGCTGTATGTGAGCCCTTCATTAACATTTTAAAATACATTTCGGCGTAATATACCAAATAGTCTTAGTGCAATAGTAACAATTAATATTGTAAATAGTTTCGTTTTTGAAAGCATCCGATGCTTTTTTCTTTGCTAAACGATTATTATTAATAATTTTAATCCAAATTTTATTCGCACGGTTTGGAAAGTCCTGCCCAAAGTAAAAAAGCATCGTTTGTCCATTTAACATTAATTTGTAATCATGGTTTAATGTCATTGTTCCTTTATTATGTTTATAAAGTAAGTAGTTTTGGTTTTTCTTTTGTTATTTCTAATTGTTTGCCATTCGGTGTAAGATTTTATGATAACTTTAATTTTCAACATGTAACATATTTTTTCTTGATGTAAAATTGGATGGTACATTGGTTGTAATGAACTGCTATTTTAGTATAAAAGATGTGAGTTGTATGATCGCGTATAGAGTTGAAAATTACCTGGAAAGTTTCCATTTTGAATGAAAGTTTTCTGAAAGTTACCTGAAAGTTTCCAATTTAGGAAGTTTTAATTTTTTTTTTTCACAATTTCTATTTTTTTTAAACAACTATCGATAGGTTTCGTCCATCTGATGAATAAAACGTCATTAAATGTTTTCCTATTACTAATAGTTTGGCTGGAAAAAGTATTTTCCTTTTCGTTGTATGATCGTTTTGGAAAATTACTTAAATTACCGTAATTTGGTACATTTCAGGAATGTTTCCGGAAAGTTACCTTGAAAACTTATTTTCTTACCGAAACGAAACAACATTCCGTAATTTTCAACTCTAATCGGGTACAACATTCCAAAGTTATAATGATATATTATCGTGATAATAAACCAATGAAAATATATTCGTTATTTTTTTAACCTGTAAGTACTTGGTAAAAAGCAAGACATACAAGAAGAGACAAGTGGCAACGGCATTATTTTATAACCAGCAGTAAACTGACATTAGCCTGACTGATGATTAAATACTATGGTGGGGCTATGCATCCCTCAATGATTTTCAGCAGGGATGATATTTTACCGAGACAGATAATGTGTGTGTGACAGTGTAATTACACCGTGATTTCATATTGCTATTATGCGCGCCCATACTTCGATATTAGTGTTCGCGCTTCTGTTCGATCAATTTCCCGAATAGTGTACCTGCGCCATAAGAACAAAGTGGGCCGGCATAGGGAGTTCTGAAATAAAAGTCAGAAATGTAATATGTACGACTTTACTATAAAAATACATCACAAGGTATATATTGAGCTTAATAATTGAAAGTCCTGTATTAATGATAGAACACACGTTTAACAGTTTTCAGTTGAGATCAACAAGTTAAATATTAGAGACTATACTAATTCATTGGTTGTTCCATTACATTTTCAAAATTGTGAGACACCTAAAGATTTTGACGGTTTTTATAAAGTTGGTCAAGCCAAGGTATAGGCGAAGTGTAACAATGAATATTGCACGTACATGAATCTGGGTTAACAATAAGCCCACCGACTTTTAGTCGGCCGCCGATAGTTGGGCCCGATTTTAATTTGTATGAAGAATTTTCATACAAATGTCCTTACTGATTAAACGCCCGACCCAAACCAAAGAAAATATTTACTCTGACGAGAAGAATGGCGACTCCATAGAAAAGAAAATCCACGGTGTTGCCTACAAAGTCGACACGGCCTGACCCAAACTATCGGCCAACTAAAAGCCGGTGGTCTGCGCCTAGGCTAAACAGAATAAAAAACATAATTATAAAAAAAATATATAATCTCTTTGAAAAGACATAAGCCGCGGCTGCATTTCAAGTGCATATAAAGATGAATTCACATTTAGTTGATCCGCCAATTCATTCATTCCATCATGCCGTCACCGTCATTCACTGGCATCTCGCTTTGCGTGAGAGGAATGGCAACATTCGAAACTTCGGATATTTTTAGTAACCCCGCTAAAGTCTAGAAGTCATTTTAAATTGGTGTACTATTTAAATGCAACCAAAAAAAACCTCATGGAGAATACCGAGGAATACTTCTAAACCTAAAATAACAAAAAGAACTGGGACTAAAAATTTAAGAATACAAAATAATACGTAATAACGAAAAAGGCAGTCTACGTCCCCAGACCATGCCAGCGTGCGGAAAGATTGCAACATTTAGTAAGAAGATCACATTTAGATTCTTATGGCACATCCAATTTAACATTTATATGGAATGTCGATATAAATTATGCCCCGTTAGATTCGCGCTGGCAAATTGTTAAGTGCAAGAGAAAATTAAATGTGCGTTACATCAATAATAATTAGATGTGAGACATTATTATCATTTTTTCATACAATGAATACTGAGTTCAATAACATCACATCTAGTTATTTTTATTCATGGTTGTGTGTTATTTAAAGATATCCTCATTCACAGAAAGAGGTGAATAGAAAAACATAAAATACATAAAGAAATTTGTAGGTACAAAAGTCTATTTACATTACTAAAGCACAGTACAGTTTTGAAGACTGGGGAAATGTCACATTGACAACAATTATAAATATCCACAAAAATATTAAATTGATAAATAACATTTTTATTTCCTTTTTTTGTGGAGCACATTTTGCTATTACTTGAAAAATTAATTGCTAACAATGTTATGAGTTAATGACTATAATATCTGTAATTAAATGTTTCTGATTATATTGAATATGATAATTTATATTTAACAAAATATGCTCCTTATGTCAAATGATATCTTACATTTCAAATAAGACTAAACAACTTGCCACGTCACCGACAGTCTTCAAACTTTGCATGCGTTTTGTTCCTTCACATCCCCGGGTAACTCCAGGTTAAACTAACTCCTATAACAACGCCTTCGCATTTAAACCAAGCTCTTTCCCACATTATCACATTTCCCTCCGAGCATTTTCTTCGCTTTGGTGAGTTCATCCAAGAAGCACCTGCCTTTCTCCGTCCGCATGATGGTTTTCTTCGGGAGCAGATTCTTCGACAGATGCGATATGAGTTTCTGCCAGTCCTTGAGCAGAAAGAATACTTTTCCGTGTTTCGTTTCGATGGGTACGGTCCCGGTTGAGTATTCGAAGAAGACGTTGGAAACGTCTTTGGGGCACCGGGACGTTTTGAACGCTTTGACCATGGAAAGGAGTAGGACGTCGACATCCTTGTGCGCTCCGATGGGTTTTTCGTAGATGTTGTTGTACAGGTTTTTCTCTTCGGCCGGTCCGACGATGTATAGGACGTGGGTGCTAAGTTGGATTGCTTCTTCGGCCCAGATATAAGGGTCGCCGTGGCTGGTAGCGGCGATGTCTCCTTCGAACATCACGTCGAAACCGTATTCCGACTTGAGGTAGGCCACGAACGTTGCCACGCATTCCGCGTGAAGGCGGCTGGCCGGCGAGTATATCACGAGAACTTTCGTTGGAGCCGGGATTTCGTTGTCTGCGGTCAAATATTACTCATTATTACAAGATAACGTAAAATACAGGGCCGGTCTACCATATGGCATTGGCCCCGTTTCAAGGGGCCCCCAACTAAGTCAAATCAAAGTAAAAAATACGACGATAAAGCGAAAGAGGTGAGCCCCTAAGTAGTATTAGCCCAGGGCCTAAACTCACCCTTGTTCTACCAAAGGTAAAAAAAAAAACAACTTTTCTTCCCACAAATAAAATTGAAAAGTGATACTCAATAGACATACTTGAAAAGTATAGTACAGAGGGCTGAGTGTGTTTACATCAAACGTTGTCACTAGCGAGCGCGAAAAAAATATATGAAGATTTTAGTTCTTGAAAGTTTCCGCTAGAGGCGCTGTACAATCCGTCATACTATGAATGTCACTTTTTTATGCAATCGACATCGAATGCGTTTGACGTAAACTCACACTAAAGCCTGGTCCGTGAGCACGTAGAATCCCGTGCAATGCTTCTAGTGTCCGACCGAATGTTCGGTTTCGGTTTCGTTTTCGGTTGAGTTTCGGTAAAAACACGAGTTTCGGTTTAGTTTCGTTTTCGGCGGCAAACTTGCCGAAACTACGACCGAAACCGATTTTGTTTTGAGAAATTATTAAGGTAAAAAACCCGACCATGGGACGGGTTATGTAGATGTCCTGAATATTGCGAGTAATTAAAAAAAATCTTTTTGATACCTAATACATAATTTGATACCTTTTAGAGTAAAAATGCACTTTATAAGTTCAATTTTAATGCAATTTAAAGAGAAAACCATAAAGACTGACTGATTATAATAACTTTTTCTTTATTTTTCCCTCAAAATATGAGCCTTGCCTTGTAAGGAAGTTTCGGTTTCGGCCGAAATAGACACCTTTGCCGAAATTCGTTTTCGGTTTCGGTTTCGGTTTCGGTCGTAAAACTAGTTTCGGTCGGACACTAACTCCAAGCTACCCATCCCTATCGCTCGCACGTAATTATGTTGCTGTCGCGACTGTGCGACGGGCGCCCGCAGTGAGTGTGCGCCATATGCGCAACATAATTACACGCGAGCGATAGGGATGGGTAGCTTGGGGTCATTGGACGGGATTCTACGTGCTCACGGACCAGGCTTTAGCACTGCAAGAACTATGATAAAAGTGAACGTACCTAACGCCATCTTGTAGTCCTTGCACCAGAACCGGCGGATGAACCGCAGCGCGATGTAGTACCCGAATAGGGTTGCCACCACCAGCGCCGTCACGCTCGCTATGCAGATGTTCAAGGTTTTCTGCTCGTGAGCTGTAATGATGAAAAATATTTAATAAATCATTTTATACTAGTCTATACTTATAATAAATCTGTAGAGAGGTCAATTCTGTACATGAAATATATTTTCAAAATAACTATCAGGGGGTGATTAGTGATCGATACTGATGCCAAAAATGCAATCAATAAAATTTTTGTCTGTCTGTCTGTATGTATGTTCCTTGTCGGCCGTTTGGTGTAGTGGTTCGAAACGGACTACCATTCCGGAGGTAGCGGGTTCGATTCCCGCACAGTACAAACATTTGTGTGCATGAACATATCTGTTTGTATTGGACTGGGTGTTTTCTATGTATAATAAGTATGTATTTACAAAAAAAAGTATTTAAGTATGTTTATATCCGTTGTCTAGTACCCATAGTACAAGCTTTGCTTAGTTTGGGACTAGAAGCGCAGTGTAAAATGTCTAAGGATATTTATATTTATATTTTATAGAAACAAAAACTACTGGACCGATTTTAACGAAACTTGGTACAATTATTCTTCATACTTTTGGGCAGGTTATAGTATACTTAGGAATTCCCACGGGAACGGGAATTAGCGGGAAAAAACATTTGTATGAAAAAATCTAAACCGCGTAAGATAAATGAAGGGGGTAAAACGGGATCCACCCGTACGAAGTCGCGGGCGGCCGCTAGTATAGTAAATAAAGACCTTAGAGGCCCAAGTAAACAGCGAGACGACCCAGGACCGAGCCTCCTGGAACCGCATGATACGGAGGGCCGACCCGTAATAAAATGGGAATGGACCAGGCAAAGAAGAAGAATAAGTCATTTATTTCTAAACAATTTAAAATAACACAGGTTTTGAAGAAAAATAATCAATGTAATAAACATACAGATCCATACAAACAGAATCCATCACATAACTGTTTACTTTAAACAATACACAAAAAAATATTGAGGCATATTATGAGGTAACCTAAAATCATGAATACTCACTTATTGCAATCTTAGGACTTGCCACCACCGTACATTTGTTCTCTGAATAAGAACATTGGCTATGCAGGGGTGTGACTACGAAGTAATAATAGCCGGTCTGACCCAGAAAGTAGTAGTTGTATGTAACCTCCTGTAAATAAAGTGTAAATTGTGTTTTTGATATTAT